CTGGGGTATCTATTGAGCTTTACTTTTTTTTTTTGGTTTTTACTATTTTTACATATGCCTAATTTATAGATGCGTACAAGTAAAATTAAAAAAAAAGTTTACTTAAGCCGATGCTATTTATATAACTAAACAAAAAACCATAAGAAAACAATGTTCATCCTAATATGGGATTAATGCTTAATGACAGGGCCTTGTTTTTCATAAAGTGTAATAATCTTAAATTATGTTATTATAATTGACTATTAATAGACCTATTATTTTACTTTTATTTAACTATGTGATGCAATAAAAAACACGATATCAGTGTCAGATCTTTAGACCCATAACAAATTTAATATTATTACCAGCCTAAGTGAAATTAGGTACAATTTTTCATTTTTGAATTAGGTGGGTATGTGAAATCAAGTAAAAACGGAAAGTCATTACACAATCGTGTACATTTTCTGGATAATCAACGTCAACTTCTAAAATTTAGCCGTATTTTTCATCATCTGGTATCGTTGTAATATCTAGTAATCATTTTCTAACCATTCAAAATTGTTGTATGGAAGATATGAAAGCATAGCTTTTCCATATAAACTCGCACAATCAAAATAAGTTAAAACGAGTAGTTGGTTTATTCGGGTCATAGTGAATACCTCTAATTTTTGGAATATTAGCATGTGCATGTCGCTCAACACTTATATATATTCCTCCACGAATTCCTCTTTTAAAAAAAAGTTGCATATGGTAATCTTTTAACCTTTTAAGATATACGTTAGTATATTTTAACATCGCTTGAAATGAAAAAGCCGGCACAGTTTATTAATAAGAGGCGTCAAGATGCAGTGTTTCTAAACAAAGGTTTCAGAACGATTCGAAAACCTTAGCTTATATTATAATATCAGTCAATAGGTAGAGGTCAGAATTAAATGTATTTCAAACACTTTTTGCATGGTTGCAATCAAGTTCTCTGATTTTTTCATAATTTAGTAAATAATAAAAGTGTTCTTTTGATGGTAAGCTTGTCTCTTCATGTTTTTTTTCAAGAATCTAAATACTCGTAATTAAATCAACCTTTACGACATACCAAATCTATTCTATCTGCTGAAAAAACTGTAATATTTCTTTGAACCTATTTTTGTCTTCAGCTAAATTGTTAGCAAGTGAGCTTAGAGACTCAGCCATTAAACGATATGTGTCGGTTAACTTAAGTTTCATTGTTTTAGAAATTTCTTTACTAAATGATTTATATTTTTCTGTACAAATTGGAATCCCATCAATTATTTTATTATTATAACCTAGTTCATATACAATAAAGTGGCTGTCGTATGGCTAATTATGAAAAAAAACTGGAATAAATGTGACATTTTTAAATTTAAAATTACACCCCAAACATAAAACACCTTTAAAATTCCAGTAAAATGTGAATGATGTCTTACCTATATATTATCTATAAACGTATGCATTGGTATATTTGTTTGATACAGTTCATCAATTTTTTCTCCAACTTTATAACAGATTTCATAAAATGCTTTGCTGCATTCTTTCCTTGATTAATAATTGGATTTGTAGGTATTATAAACTAGTGGATTAATTCGAGTGGTATTGTTTTAAGACCAACCTTAATAAAAAAAACCCATAGTTCATGGACTTATGTATGTATATTTTGTTTTTATTTTCATTAGTGTCGTGACTGATATTTTACAGTCTTCGAAAAAACTTTCAAAATCTGCATAAACTACTATTGGTACGCGTTGAGTAGCTACATAGTTCTTAAATTCAATAGCGCTCTACTTCAATAACTAGATTGTTGTAAAGAAATAGAACGATGTACGAAGACTGGACCAAAAAAATAGTTTGTAGGTCAAACGCAATCCCACCAGTTAAGTGAGCACGTAGGGACGACGTCCTGACCGACGACTGAATGTAAAGGAAGCACTTGATGAACTGAGCTGCAGTTGTCTTGTTACAACCCGTTTTAAGTTCTCAATTCGAATGTTTCGCTCCTGACACTAAAGTTCTGTGGAAGGTGTATGTAGTGTGTTTTCATTGGTGTATCCTTTGGGGTTTAGTAAAAATATTTACCTATTTTTGCTATTTGTTCTCAATTTCTTTTTAAACTTGGTAGGATAGAGTGACTTTGTAGAAAAGTAAACTAAAAACTAAAATTATCTATGAAATTTTAGAAATGTTCTGGTTTATTATATAAGTGAAAAAATCACTTTTGAATAAACGTTTCGTTACGAATCTGTTGTTAGACCTGAGACATCTCCGTCCCCACTATGCCCCGACCAAAATGTGCTCCTTTTTAAATTTCTATTTAATAACTCTGTTTAGTTTCAGTCGTAATACTATTGATATTCGTTGTCAACCCAACCCAAATATAAAGTGAGGCTATATATATATATACAAAATTTAAAAAAATATTTCGACTAGCTTTTTTAGCAAAAAAATAAATCTAAAAGAAAAAAAGAGGTAATTACATATGTTTTCTACATTTATTTTCAAGGTTGCTATGTGAAAAACGATCAGATGGTCAAGATTGATTAGACAAATATTTTCATTACTTATGTTCGTGGTTCCTACTAACAAAAACAATGTGTTATAAAGAGACAAGTGGCGTTAATTTTATCCAACTTTATAATGAACATGCAAATTTTAGCACATTTTTTTTTAACTGAATTTATGGATATTTAATATTTGTACCCTTTACAGAAAAGTAATAAAGGTTTTTTTTTTAGGTAATTTTGTGTTTTTCATTTATTATAAGTCCTGAATACCCGTGACCTCCCAATATTCTACAAAATATAAGCTCTATCCCCAGTATACTGGCTTCTGTTATTATAGTTTTGTATACTTTGTGTGAAATTTAAATTGTTTAATACTTATTTTAGAAAGCCATATACTCTTTTAAGTTCCTTTATTAGTTTTTGGTACATAGCTGCAATGCTTTGTGATTAATTTAACGTTGTACACACATTTTTTCATAATAGTCATAATAATACATATTGGTTTTCTGAAATAAATAATAGCATTTTATTGTGCACACGTGTAGTAAAGCATTTAATTATTGACAGTTGAATTCACATAAGTAAATAATAAGCAGTAATTATATTATTACATTTTCTACAGTCGATCATAATGTGAAACTTGTCTTGCTTTCAGAACTAAAGTACAAAAACAAAAAAAAAACAATACAAATTTGGAACTCCTTTGAGTAAAAAAACGTAAAATTAAATAATCAAAATTATTATGCCAGGAATTGTGATTGTCTTTTTTTCCTTTAAAAAAAAAAAAAAAAGTCGAAAAATGGTATATGTTATAGATACTAAGAAGCAAATATCTTAACTAGCGTCAGAGTCATGTAAATATGCAATTATATAAAACAAAAACAGCTATGTAAATAAATTAACATAGGCAATCTGAAAAATATATTAAGACTTAACTTTTTTGGTCGACATAAAATACCATGCATCAATTGTAAGAAAAACACTTTAAAACATTTTAACAAACTGATAGAGTTATTATTTTGCTTATAACTTCTGTGATTTCGCTGGTTCAATCAAGTTATACTAACCACCTACTAAGATTGTAAGTACATTCATTTTGCAGATTAATAAGTTTTAAGATTAATTTATTTATTTTGTCAGCCAGAGATAACTTTTTGACCGCTAAGTCAATTTCTTTAAATCACAAGTGTATATTAACGAATTTACACATATAATGTACAGTTACAGTGTTTATGATATTTTGTAACTACATTTTTAAATTAATATGTGGAACATAAGATACCATTATTTTAGGATCTCAGTTTCACATTAGAGTTTTAAATGGTTATTGAATATAATATACGAACATTAATTGTTTTGTGTTATTCTTGCAGATAAAAATGAAACCTCTATGTATTTTAATACCGTTTACCTTAGTAAATATATTGGTAGCTGAATTAGGTGATTAGTTCATTTTAACACTAACTTACATGAAGAAGTATATATCTTTAAAAAAAACTCAATATTCAAATTTTTTTTACAGATGAATATACTATAGAGGTTATTAGAACAAGTCAGTAAATATTTACTTTAAATCAAACGTTTTTTGAATTTTATTATATTTTTATAATTTTTTACAGATCGACACATCGAACTGGCAAGAAGTAAAATTTATTTAAAATTAAAATAATTTTGTATAATGTGTTTGAGATGTTTGTCTGGTTAATTAATTAATTATTTTTTAATAATTAAAAATTATAGTTTCTATAATCTGTTTAAGTTAGAATGGAATAAGTACCATTGTTTTAAAAAAAAGTGTAGATATAAAGTTCATCTAAATAAAATTAATTATTTTTATACTCAAAGAAATAGTTTCTATAATTTAATTTTAATTAATATGGCTATAGGTAGTCACTATTTAATATAACAAGATAAGATAGCGTTAAATGACAATCGTTTAAAATACATGACGTACGGTTACGTGCCAACAGCTTATTTCAGTTTGTAAGTTAATTTCTTTTTTATTCTTTTCTTTTGTTTAAACGTTCTTAACATTTGAGATGCTATAGGTTTTAAAAAAAATAAAAGCAAGTTGTTTGATTTATAAGTTATAACATATGATACACATTATGGCATAATGATTTATAATATATACATTATAAAATTATCTGTTAAAATCTTATGTTAACAGATAATTTTTATAATACATCGATGATAAGAATCAATAAACTCAGCGAACGCGTATTTATAAAACAATGATTTCTTATAGAGACTTTTTTTTCTATCACTGGTAACAGGCATTTGAGGTGTGTTTTAGAGTGTTTAGGAAGTGCAATATCTAATTTTATCTTATCTGTAGTGTAGTTGTAATGGACGTATTATTTCTTTAGTTAAGATTTTTATACACTTGTTATTCATTTCTTATAAGTATTTAACCCATTTTATCGATTAATTTTGTTCTTACTTATTTTATAACTAAAACCAAAATTTGATTATTCTAGAATACATGCCGCTATTAATTGAAAAATATGTTCTTGGACCATATAAGATGGGTAATCAATAATTATAATAATTGTTATACAATAAATAATATTAAAAAGCTTGCTAGTAAAAATTACACGTTTTGAAAATTATATAAAAAATTGCAACAAAAGTTATTCTATTTTCAAATTTATAATAACTATTATAAATTTACTATTATAATACTAGTATAATTTACTACTATAAAATAAAATTTTAATATTAAAAAATTAAAATATCCATTGTACAAGCCGATACATAGGATCATGGATGTGTCTAAAATAACTAGGTTTTTGCCTTTACGATTACGCGATTTACGCATCAATATAGCTTTTGATTCCGGATACATTATACCGAGACAACATTAACTATGATTAAGCAAGAAAGTGTTTATCTCACTTAAATATATACTGTCTGAATGAGGGTGTTTGTCAATATCGACAAAAACGAATTGGCCAGTACATTAAAATTACTTACCAGCTTAAAATTTTATGGACATTTTTTACTATAGTTAATTAATATTCATAGTATATCATGTTTTTTATTTTTATTTCAGAAATGGCGTATGGACACATAAAAAGTAAAATATTCATATATATTGAGAATAATTATTTACTTACATAAAGATTTCCATCATAATATGAAAACGATGTACATCACAATTTTGTTTTTGTATTTTAGTAATGTTACAAGACCAGATTCATTTGCAACTTGAAATATGTGATAAAACCCGTAAATATAAAATGTTTGCCAATTAAATTAATGATTTAACAACTCGGATGTTTAATGAGTAATGATGTTTTTTACTCTAAGTAATAAATAATTATACAAAAGTAAAACTGTTAAGTACAAAAATATATCACATATATGTCGTAAAGTGCACACAAGAGAACAACGTCGCGAGTGGAAATCTGAAACTGAACTGTGTCGAGGGTGAAGCTTGTTTTGGTTTATATACTTTCCCGTATAGAGCGTAGAATATTTGACCACCACAAATTTAATTTTGTTAATCTAAATGAAAATAATAAAAATTCGATCAAGGTAGTCATAATTAGAAACCAGAATTATATGCATTTGCATGATCTCACTGAGTTTATGGTCTGTCTTGAGTATGTAAATTTGTACGAAGTAGTCCTTAATCATAGTACTAACGATAAACATTGACAAACCGCAAACAATTTACCGAAATTACACTTTCACAGTCAACAAGTAATTCAAATACTTAAACTGAATGACTCCTATAGTTGACCATTGTAACGCTACGTTTGTTGTTGTTGCGATGCCCGTGAAATGGCAGACGATTCAAGCTTGAACACGTTGTAGTAGATTTTCGAATATGGACATAGCAACCTTGAAAATGAATACGGTTGAACTGTAATTTTCCCCTTTTTTGGGGTTTTCCTAAATAAAAAAAAAAGTTTGACGATAGATTTTGGAGAAAATAATATCGGAGAATTCGGCTAAACAGTTTAAAATATACGAGCCTGTGAGAATGAAGGTGACGTAAGTCAAAATTAAAAAAAAAAAAATCGCAATATCGCTAGGGCATATTAGTATACTCTAAAAGAGTCATTTAGTCAGTGGAGTAAGTACAGTTGAGCTTTTTTCCGCCAGAGAGCGCCACCTAAAATTCCGTTAGTTACCGTGTTTGTGTGAAACACAAAACGCAAACCCTTCTACTGCTCATAACGACTTAAATTTGACCTACGCCACTTTCATTTTCATCGGCTCATATCGCGGGTCCAGACGCAAAAATAAAAACACATCATTGAAAAAACAATACCATTCAACTCTGCGTCGCAGCTAAAATATTTTAAAGAAAATAGTTTTTCAGCCTTACTATTACTTAATATTCATTTATTTTGATTTTAGATATCGGAATACCTGAGATAAACGAAGGTAATTATAATTGTATATGAATTTCTCGGAGGTTTTGCGTGGTAAATCGCAATTTTACACGTTAAAACTTTAGAAAGCTTAACTTTAGAGAACTGAACCTCGCGCTAGGCCGTTATTTATCTACATTTCCCGCTAGATTCGTTGCCATGGAATATTACGAATTGTATAACTGTGCATACTGTTTAGGGTTTGGAAAAGAGCTTTGCGTGATTTGGCTATCATAAAATTTGAGTATGTTCTCTAAACTGTGTCAAAGGCTATTATTATGCAGTGATCTATTATTATATTTAGGCCTTCTTTTTTTACCCTTCTATAAACGTGATGAGTGAATGAACTTGGCCACAGCTGCTACGTTCAATTCTAAAACCTGCTTACTCAATAGCGATTCAAACACAAATGATAGGCATGTAACGAAGGAGCTGTCTTGTTGCCAGAATTTAGACTTCATAAAGAATCTTTAACATTAACGTCAAGTTGCAGAAAAATTGGCAGCGTTACAGTTCCTTTAAGAGCGATAATGCAACTCTATTTCGATCAACTAATTTTTTTTTATTCCTTGATATTAAGGAGATTTTGAAGGTGTTACTCTCCAAGATTTAGGATGTGCAAGAAGAGTTATCACTCTAGAAGCTATTACAACTTTAATCCGTTCTGTGTTAAGTAAATAAACATTTTTTTACTATTTTTTATGCATAAAATATGTATTGCTATTTAAACACCCTCCCTCAATGAATAATCTCTATTGGTCCAGCTTTCCTTTCAACTGAATGGTTCCCATTGTTGACTGCAGTTTATGAAACTTTTGCCTTGCAAACGAATTTATCAGAATGACTAATGCCTGGTTTTCAATTATTTTATACCTACTGGAGTTATAATCCACCTTGCTCGTACTTCTCTTGAATAAAATAATACCATGTCTGTGTGTGTTTATTGTTTTGTCCATCGATGAAACTAGATTAAAACTAAGTAATATGCTTATTATTTCACTGTGAGTTATTTGTATATACCAGTGGCGTAGTTATGATTTTGTTCTGGGGGATAGATGCATTTTTGAGTAAACGTAGAGCTACAAGGTACAATAAGTACGTTTTAGGTAACAGGAACATAATTTTAAAAGAAGTCGAGAACTACGAAAATGATTAATATCCCCCCCCCCCTACATAACTACGCCACTGTTATACACTTGTGTATGTTGTGTCTTGCAAATAAAGAAAATAATTAACTAACTAGTTAATTTCGGTAATTTTTTTTTTTAAGGAAAGTTAAAAGAAGGAGAAGACGATCAAAGTTTTACAAAATTTTCCAAGATTTGTCGTTTGATAGGAGCGTTTAGAAGTATAAAATACCCAAGTTCATACATAGATACGGCTGTTATTAACGATAGAGGATTTTGTGTTGTAATATGTGTAGACATAAGTTTTAACATATACAGAAACATTGGAAGCATAATTTGGGAAGCAAATCCAGTAGACCCTGAAAATTCTTTATTACAGCCACTTTCTGATCAGTTAATATTATAATATCGTCCAGGAATCACTAGGAGTACTTATTTTACAGTACAATCGTTATTGTATTCAAATAATTATTGCATATCTCACTAATAACCAAACTGTCAATAAATATGTATATAATATTAAACACTTTTTAGTAAACAGTAATAATCACGATTATAAAAACATTTATTGCTTATGTATGTAACGCGACAAAATCTATTATAGTGTGTCAGATAAATTAGTGCCCAAGTGTTGCATAGTGTGAGCTTTTATCTATTAAAACCCATTTTCGTATTGCCCCTCGGTCTTAAAGTCGGATAACACTGTTCCGTCACCCTACACACTGCTGCCTTACATCCGGCATATGGAGACCTATTTTTGTTTTTTTTTCATCTATGTGACCAACAAATCAAATAAAGGAGTAAGCGTTGGTGACAATTTGCCCCGGGTGCCCATCTGACCCGTTGGGGTACAAAAAACTGGGGAGCGACTATTGTGTTTGTAAATACTCATATAGAATTTTCTAGCGTGAGGCTAATTATCCGAATCGGTGAAAGCTAGCACAACTTGTGCCCTTGGATAAGCCCTCGTCGTATCGCCTTATTTTTTCGTTGGATACGGTGGGCAAGTTGTTTGAGGAGATGCAGATTCGGCGGATAAGGGCCCATATGCAGCTGGTAGATAGTCAATATGGGTTCAGAGAAGGTTCTACTCTTAACCCATTAGGTTAGGTTAGGTTTTGAAAATGGCCAACGTGCTGGGAAAATGGTGACAAACAGTGTTACCGACAAGGGACGATGGACGTATCGTTTGATCGCTGACGTTACCAGATTGGTCACTAGGAGACACGGTGAAGTCAATTTCCATCTAACAGGTCATGATTGCATTTGGGACCTCCCAATATTCTACAAAATATAAGCTCTATCCCCAGTATACTGGCTTCTGTTATTATAGTTTTGTATACTTTGTGTGAAATTTAAATTGTTTAATACTTATTTTAGAAAGCCATATACTCTTTTAAGTTCCTTTATTAGTTTTTGGTACATAGCTGCAATGCTTTGTGATTAATTTAACGTTGTACACACATTTTTTCATAATAGTCATAATAATACATATTGGTTTTCTGAAATAAATAATAGCATTTTATTGTGCACACGTGTAGTAAAGCATTTAATTATTGACAGTTGAATTCACATAAGTAAATAATAAGCAGTAATTATATTATTACATTTTCTACAGTCGATCATAATGTGAAACTTGTCTTGCTTTCAGAACTAAAGTACAAAAACAAAAAAAAAACAATACAAATTTGGAACTCCTTTGAGTAAAAAAACGTAAAATTAAATAATCAAAATTATTATGCCAGGAATTGTGATTGTCTTTTTTTCCTTTAAAAAAAAAAAAAAAAGTCGAAAAATGGTATATGTTATAGATACTAAGAAGCAAATATCTTAACTAGCGTCAGAGTCATGTAAATATGCAATTATATAAAACAAAAACAGCTATGTAAATAAATTAACATAGGCAATCTGAAAAATATATTAAGACTTAACTTTTTTGGTCGACATAAAATACCATGCATCAATTGTAAGAAAAACACTTTAAAACATTTTAACAAACTGATAGAGTTATTATTTTGCTTATAACTTCTGTGATTTCGCTGGATCAATCAAGTTATACTAACCACCTACTAAGATTGTAAGTACATTCATTTTGCAGATTAATAAGTTTTAAGATTAATTTATTTATTTTGTCAGCCAGAGATAACTTTTTGACCGCTAAGTCAATTTCTTTAAATCACAAGTGTATATTAACGAATTTACACATATAATGTACAGTTACAGTGTTTATGATATTTTGTAACTACATTTTTAAATTAATATGTGGAACATAAGATACCATTATTTTAGGATCTCAGTTTCACATTAGAGTTTTAAATGGTTATTGAATATAATATACGAACATTAATTGTTTTGTGTTATTCTTGCAGATAAAAATGAAACCTCTATGTATTTTAATACCGTTTACCTTAGTAAATATATTGGTAGCTGAATTAGGTGATTAGTTCATTTTAACACTAACTTACATGAAGAAGTATATATCTTTAAAAAAAACTCAATATTCAAATTTTTTTTACAGATGAATATACTATAGAGGTTATTAGAACAAGTCAGTAAATATTTACTTTAAATCAAACGTTTTTTGAATTTTATTATATTTTTATAATTTTTTACAGATCGACACATCGAACTGGCAAGAAGTAAAATTTATTTAAAATTAAAATAATTTTGTATAATGTGTTTGAGATGTTTGTCTGGTTAATTAATTAATTATTTTTTAATAATTAAAAATTATAGTTTCTATAATCTGTTTAAGTTAGAATGGAATAAGTACCATTGTTTTAAAAAAAAGTGTAGATATAAAGTTCATCTAAATAAAATTAATTATTTTTATACTCAAAGAAATAGTTTCTATAATTTAATTTTAATTAATATGGCTATAGGTAGTCACTATTTAATATAACAAGATAAGATAGCGTTAAATGACAATCGTTTAAAATACATGACGTACGGTTACGTGCCAACAGCTTATTTCAGTTTGTAAGTTAATTTCTTTTTTATTCTTTTCTTTTGTTTAAACGTTCTTAACATTTGAGATGCTATAGGTTTTAAAAAAAATAAAAGCAAGTTGTTTGATTTATAAGTTATAACATATGATACACATTATGGCATAATGATTTATAATATATACATTATAAAATTATCTGTTAAAATCTTATGTTAACAGATAATTTTTATAATACATCGATGATAAGAATCAATAAACTCAGCGAACGCGTATTTATAAAACAATGATTTCTTATAGAGACTTTTTTTTCTATCACTGGTAACAGGCATTTGAGGTGTGTTTTAGAGTGTTTAGGAAGTGCAATATCTAATTTTATCTTATCTGTAGTGTAGTTGTAATGGACGTATTATTTCTTTAGTTAAGATTTTTATACACTTGTTATTCATTTCTTATAAGTATTTAACCCATTTTATCGATTAATTTTGTTCTTACTTATTTTATAACTAAAACCAAAATTTGATTATTCTAGAATACATGCCGCTATTAATTGAAAAATATGTTCTTGGACCATATAAGATGGGTAATCAATAATTATAATAATTGTTATACAATAAATAATATTAAAAAGCTTGCTAGTAAAAATTACACGTTTTGAAAATTATATAAAAAATTGCAACAAAAGTTATTCTATTTTCAAATTTATAATAACTATTATAAATTTACTATTATAATACTAGTATAATTTACTACTATAAAATAAAATTTTAATATTAAAAAATTAAAATATCCATTGTACAAGCCGATACATAGGATCATGGATGTGTCTAAAATAACTAGGTTTTTGCCTTTACGATTACGCGATTTACGCATCAATATAGCTTTTGATTCCGGATACATTATACCGAGACAACATTAACTATGATTAAGCAAGAAAGTGTTTATCTCACTTAAATATATACTGTCTGAATGAGGGTGTTTGTCAATATCGACAAAAACGAATTGGCCAGTACATTAAAATTACTTACCAGCTTAAAATTTTATGGACATTTTTTACTATAGTTAATTAATATTCATAGTATATCATGTTTTTTATTTTTATTTCAGAAATGGCGTATGGACACATAAAAAGTAAAATATTCATATATATTGAGAATAATTATTTACTTACATAAAGATTTCCATCATAATATGAAAACGATGTACATCACAATTTTGTTTTTGTATTTTAGTAATGTTACAAGACCAGATTCATTTGCAACTTGAAATATGTGATAAAACCCGTAAATATAAAATGTTTGCCAATTAAATTAATGATTTAACAACTCGGATGTTTAATGAGTAATGATGTTTTTTACTCTAAGTAATAAATAATTATACAAAAGTAAAACTGTTAAGTACAAAAATATATCACATATATGTCGTAAAGTGCACACAAGAGAACAACGTCGCGAGTGGAAATCTGAAACTGAACTGTGTCGAGGGTGAAGCTTGTTTTGGTTTATATACTTTCCCGTATAGAGCGTAGAATATTTGACCACCACAAATTTAATTTTGTTAATCTAAATGAAAATAATAAAAATTCGATCAAGGTAGTCATAATTAGAAACCAGAATTATATGCATTTGCATGATCTCACTGAGTTTATGGTCTGTCTTGAGTATGTAAATTTGTACGAAGTAGTCCTTAATCATAGTACTAACGATAAACATTGACAAACCGCAAACAATTTACCGAAATTACACTTTCACAGTCAACAAGTAATTCAAATACTTAAACTGAATGACTCCTATAGTTGACCATTGTAACGCTACGTTTGTTGTTGTTGCGATGCCCGTGAAATGGCAGACGATTCAAGCTTGAACACGTTGTAGTAGATTTTCGAATATGGACATAGCAACCTTGAAAATGAATACGGTTGAACTGTAATTTTCCCCTTTTTTGGGGTTTTCCTAAATAAAAAAAAAAGTTTGACGATAGATTTTGGAGAAAATAATATCGGAGAATTCGGCTAAACAGTTTAAAATATACGAGCCTGTGAGAATGAAGGTGACGTAAGTCAAAATTAAAAAAAAAAAAATCGCAATATCGCTAGGGCATATTAGTATACTCTAAAAGAGTCATTTAGTCAGTGGAGTAAGTACAGTTGAGCTTTTTTCCGCCAGAGAGCGCCACCTAAAATTCCGTTAGTTACCGTGTTTGTGTGAAACACAAAACGCAAACCCTTCTACTGCTCATAACGACTTAAATTTGACCTACGCCACTTTCATTTTCATCGGCTCATATCGCGGGTCCAGACGCAAAAATAAAAACACATCATTGAAAAAACAATACCATTCAACTCTGCGTCGCAGCTAAAATATTTTAAAGAAAATAGTTTTTCAGCCTTACTATTACTTAATATTCATTTATTTTGATTTTAGATATCGGAATACCTGAGATAAACGAAGGTAATTATAATT